TGTTATCAAGGAATATCTTCAAAATAAAACAATGTCTAAAAAGAATAGGATTGCTCGTTGTCCTGCATTTGTTATCTAGAATTATCTTCAAAATGGCTGAATGTCTAAAAAGAAAGGAATTGCTAGTTGTCCTATATTTGTTATCAAGAGATATCTTTGAAATGGCAGAATGTCTAAAAAGAATTGGAATGCTAGTTGTCCTATATTTGTTATCAAGGATTATCTTCAAAATGGCAGAATGTCTAAAAAGAATAGGAATGCTAGTTGTCCTATATTTGCTATCAAGGATTATCTTCGAAATAGCACAATGTCTGAAAAGAATAGGATTGCTAGTTGTCCTACAATTGTTATCAAAGATTATCTTCAAAATAGAACAATGTCTAAAAGGAATACGATTGCTAGTTGTCCTACAGTTGATATTAGAGAAAATAGGGAATCTTCCAGACATTTCAAATGATAAAGAATAAAAATGATGTGTTAACTCCATAATAGCAATAGAAATATAGAATAAATAATATGTAATGTGATGGCGGTCATACGCGTTAATTATGATATTTCTTTTTAACATACGAGACTTATTTCAAAATGGCCTATAGATATTCCAAGTTTTACTTGAATCAACTTGGTAGTGAAGCTGTCAATAAATTTTCGACATACTTGAACACAGATAATAGATTCTAGATTTAAATATTCATCTTTCTGTTTCGTTTGAACATCAATCGGTCAGTTTAAAACCCCAATAGTTTAATAAATATCAGTCCCACCATTTTGTAATGTTCAGTGATGCATCCACCTTCACTGTTGTTAACATTCCACAGAGCCTGAAAACACAATAGTGCGCATTGTTTTCCGTACTTCATGGCTAGACAGGAAGAATCGATAAAAAACGCATGACTAATAGCTGACGTAGAACGCTTTTTTTGTTTGTTTGCAAAGTACACACAGTAATAGACCCATTTTATGCCGCTTAGGCATTAGTCTTTACGTCTTCTTTCCCTCATGAGAACGATTGCAATTTTCTTTGTACAGTGCCGCCCCTCACTCTACCCCCATAATGTTTCCAGCATTGTTCACAATGAAGTCATTATTCTGTAGTTTATTTCTAATGGGAAACCGTTACATGGTAACCCAAACTTCTCTATTTGTCTGAAACAAATTTATTTGACACAGTTCAGTCACTCTTACGGATAATTAATTTAAACTGATTTAAGATAAACACCGGTGTCTGAGAAAAGAGACTTTAAACTGAAGGATTGATAATTTATTTTGTCATAGGATCTGGAAATCAATGTACCAATTGATTCTGTAAACATACTTATCTATATAAACATCACACATTATTTACAGAATTATTATTTAAATTTAAATATTATTGATTTACTTCCAATCTTTGAAAAGGTTGTGCATATAATGATCCAAGAGCAAGATATAAATATCTAAAATTAATGATTTCCTTTTAAATTTAATTTTTTGATGGAGGGCGGGGGCAGTTTATCGATAATTTTTATTTTCGGATATATAAAAATTGTTCGAAATTTATAAAATACATGAACACATTAAACACACAAACCTCTTCACTTAAAAGTAATAAATCCTGTTTATATATATATATATATATATATATATATATATATATATATATATATGGTTGGAGAGATGTGAGGGTCACAAACTCATATCTATCCAACCAAATATGTCAGCTCTATCTCTGATATTGAGCGCTTTCTAATAAGTACTGCGTATATAATATATAAATAATATATATATATATATATATATATTTATTTATATTTATATACACTTCACACACACACACACACACACACACATATATATATATATATATATATATATATATAGAGAGAGAGAGAGAGATAGTCAGTCAGACAGAGAGAGAGAGAGAGATAGATATATGATAAAATATAGTTTTGTGATGAGACAACACCCAGAGATGACAGCGTTTAATTATGAAGGAAATCGTCGCAACCTGACGATAGCGTTTAGCGTGAAATACACTGTCGCAAGAAAGAATGAGAGAGACATAATTCAATTATGGATAAGTATTCAAAACTTTATATATCTGACAAAATTGGTGAGTGTGTTTCAGTATGTACCTATGTTTGGGTGAGAGAGAGAGAGAGAGAGAGAGAGAGAGACAGAGACAGAGACAGAGAGAGAGACAGAGAGAGACAGAGAGAGAGAGACAGAGAGAGAGACAGACAGAGAGAGAGAGAGAGCGAATAAGAGATAAAATGACGAAAATCATTGTCGACTCGTTTTCAAGTATGCATGTCTGCTTGAGGAGGTTGCCAATTGCTGCTGCAGGTGGCTACTCCGGATCATTTGCGTTATTTCAACACATTTAGGGGCTATTATGATTAGTTTATAAAGCAGCTATGCATGGAACACCTTGGTTACAGTTTCTGAGAAATAGCATATGAACATGAGCAATATTGTAAGCACCGAGGCCATGATGAATTCTGACATTTGGCTAGCAGAGTCCATAGTTTTTGAACAGCTCTCTCTTACCAATACTCTTTAGAATGTTTGGGTCTACTCGTGATATCGATTTCAAGCAGGTTCCAAGAACGCTAGGTTCGTTTGTGCAGGTCTTTTTTTTATCTTGGATTCACCTCTCTAATAAACTTACCATGGAGAAAATCGAACCCGAGCTTCTCAGCCGGAACCACACTTCCACACACACAAACACACACACACACACACACACACACATATATATATATATATATATATATATATATAGTTAAGACTTTCACCCCTAGCAAGACGGGAAGCCACTGGAGCGAGAGCAGGTAGGAATGATAGAGGAAAGGGTGAGGAGAAGGATAGTGGATAGATCAAAATAACTGGAGATGTCGATTGACATTACATTGGAATATTTGGAGATTATAGCCATCAGCAAAACAGGAATAGGGTAGGGGCTTACACAGGTGAGAGGTGCGAGATATGAAGCTATTGGAGTAGAAGAGGCGGCTACATTTAACAATTTCAACAGTGAAAGGGTGAGAGCGGGATGCCATGCTCGTAGGACAATTGAATTCGCGGAGTCTGGGAACCAGCGAAAGCAGCTCATCGGAGCAATTACAATGAAAGTATTTGTAAAAAAAGACAGAGAGAGGTGACGGCACGTCTGTGAGAGGACGACTGCAGAAGAGATGCCAGATCAGGGCCAATTATATTGCATATCCGTCTCTGGATCTTATCAAGAACCTCTAGGCAAACAGAAGGGACTCCAGACCATATATGGCAACAATATTCCATGCAAGGGCGAATGGTTGATTTGTAGATTTGAAGGATCGATTCCGGGGAGAAAAATTTCCTCGCGCGGCACAAGGAGCCAACTTTTCATGCGGTGGACGAAGCAATTGACTCAATGTACTTGTTCCATCTCAGGTTAGTAGACAGCGTGAGACCGAGCAGCCGCAGAGAGGTGCTCTCGGGAAGTTGAGCATCAGACATTCTAATGGGGTCAGGGAAGGATCCCTGTGGTGATTAATAGAAAAGAAGTTTTGTTTTGGATGCGTTAAAGTTAACCAGCCATTTACTGCCCCAATTCACAACTGATTGGAGGTTCGTTTCGAGACGAATGGCCAGGTTAGTTTTGTCAGCGACACTAGATTTGTTTTTGAGGCAGGACTAAATTGTGGTGTCGTCCGCATAGATGCCTACTTGGTAACCATTGGCGTCCGGAAGATCGTTGATGAAGATAAGGAAGAGAGTAGGGCCTAGTTGCCCTGGGGAACACCTGCGTTCGTTGGATAGGAGCTGGAGGGGAATCAGTCGAGAACGACCTTTAATTCGCGATTAGAATGAAATGATTGTATTATGTGAAACAATCGACCTGTAATACCATAACATTGGAGCTTGCGAAAAAGGCCAGCATGCCAAACCTATCAAACGCTTTGGAGATGTCTAGGACCACGGCATGAGCTTCTCCGTTATGCTGAAGAACTTGGCAGACAATTTCAGTGATGGCCGTAAGCACATCAGTTGTAGATCGGGCAAAGCGGAAGCCATATTGACTGGCTGAGAGGAGATTATGGGATGAAAGCTGGTTAACCACTTCGGCATTGATTAAATCTTCAAAGGCTTTGTTGAAGAAGGGAAGGAGACTGATATGACCGTAATTAGAAGGGTTAGAGGTATCGCCGGAGTTCTTAAAGAGAGGAGCAATCAATGTCTGAAAAACAAGAGGGAGTAGTTGTATAAGTTGGAGAGGGCAGGCGCCAGTTCAGGCGCACATTTCTTCAAGACAATGCCTGGTATCCCATCTCCACCACTAGCCTTGTGGGGGTCTAAATTATATATATTATATATATATATAAGTGAACATAGAGTCGACAGTCTAGATGCAATCGTCAGGCCACCCTGATGATTGCATCTAGCATGAAACAGACTGTCGCTTTTATGTTCACTTTTATATTTACACACCCTCTATCTCTGATATTGAGCCCTTTATCCCATAAATATAGCACATCTTAAGACTATATTTCTTCATATATATATATATATATATATATATATATATATATATATATATATAGACAATTCACCTGGTGCAACCGATAATAGAATGGCAACAGAAACTACACTTCTTCGGCTCTTGGGATGGCACTAACTGAACTGTGAAATGCTGTTCCCTGAAGCGATAATTTTATTTTTCAACTTTGGCTTCCTCAAACACGACAGTGACCGGTGGGGACTATGTAACACTTTCGTGACACTTTTCGTTCATGGGCTTTATGTGACCCCATATTTTGTTTTAACGAGCATTAACAGTTTTTCGAAGAAGGCTGCCGCTTAGATATTAAACTGAAATGATTCCAACTGAACATTTTCGAGATTCGGTAGAGACCTCTATTCATATGCATGAATCTCTACATGGATACTAGGAAGCTGTGGACGGCTATAGAGATTCAGCATACCTCTAGCGATCTTACAATCACTTGTTGAATTGGTTGCGTTTTGTGTTTACCAGCTTACGGCCAGAGCAATTTGAAACGCCAGTTTCCGTAAGATCACCAAAGTTAAGAAATATCGAGCCTTGTCTGTACCGGGATGGGTGACCGACGGATGTGCAGCTGTTGTAATGTTGCGGAATTGTTATTCGGACAGTAGAGTTTCGACTGAGTTCGTTATATTCAATTTCGTGCAAATATACTTGGGACAAAATATCAATCCTCCTCTTCTTCCAATGGCTATGAATGAATTAAGTCTTGTATCAGTAAATTATTACTATTTAATGATAAATTACATAAGAATCTGTTCTGCATTTAAATAAGCTGAAAAGGGTTAATATGCCGTAGAAAACGAATCATTCTATGAAATCAACTCCCTGCCTTACATCACGATATAGTTTTATCTTATTTAGAAAATTTAGATTGAATCTAGAGATGCCGTTAATAGAGTATTAAGTGAAATATAAAATAATAATAATAATAATAATAATAATAATAAGAAGAAGAAGAAGAAGAAGAAGAAGAAGAAGAGGAAGAAGAAAAGAAGAAGACCGCAAACTCTAATGCATCTATGAAGATCTTTAAAAAATACAAAGACCTTATAATGGAAATCTCAAAAGTGCGGCTCATGAGGAAATCAACAATTCCAGGTGTAGTTGGAGCCCTCGGATTGATCCTAAGGTCAAGAAAATTGCATCAGTTTTAACCAAAACTTTTTTGAGTTATTTCACTTAATAAATAATCAATTACCGCAATCTTTTATGATGAGCATATCCCCCATCTTGTTACTCATGTTTCATTCAGTCTGGTTGCTTTTCTTTTGTTTGTTGTATTCATTATGACCGTTTTTCTCAAGACAAACGGCGTTTGCACTTTTTAAAGATATTTTTATACTTACATGCAATTTTAAGCATAACTTGAAGAAGACAAAGATACTGTTGAAATATTGTTAAACATTGTTCAATTTGTGTTTTTTTTCCGTTCATTTTTCTTTCTTTTTTAAATCGTACTCCTCAATAAGCGTTGTAAAATGGTGGAGAAGCTTCGTCAAACATTTTGTTTCATAATAATGATAGTAATAATGACAAATGAAACGAAAAAGAATGTTTAATAAATTTATTTAATATTGTATAATAATGATTATTAATACTATTTCTATAATAAAAATGTATATTAGTATATAATAATGATTATTGGCACTATTTCTATAATAAAAATGTATAATAGTATATAATAATGGTTATTGACAGGATTTCTATTCAAATCCCTGTAGATTAAGTTGCAATATGATCTAGAACATATGGTTATCAAGAGAGAAGCCATATTAGCTTTTATTTTTCAACTGTAATACTTGTCTAGACATAGTTCTTAATTCTGACGCTTATTCATAAGGACATGGCAATAAAACATCTAAATTCAATTGTGTCTGCTTTGTGCTCAATCAGACATGGATATTACACGGAAAACTGGAGGATATTCTATTCAATGTATGTTGTATCCTCGACATATCTTTCTTACATATATGCGTAAAATTTTAAACTTTAGCACTAATGCATGTATTAGCAAATACAGTATCTTGCAAAAGTCTTAGGTCAGTTTAAACTGTTGTAATTGTCTAACAATAGCTGATGTTTATATTGTATTGCTTGTAGATTAAACGTTGGCACCATTTTCACACCTGAGTATCATGTTTTCTATTTTGAGTAAAAGATAAAACATTCCTTTGTCAAAATCCATGTTTCCTAATCGTCAGAATTTTCATTTTCAGTTGGTCACATTGTTTTATTCTGTTTTCTAGAAAAATCCTTATCATGAGTAGCAATTTAATAATTCGAAGTTAATATTTGAGTAAATATTTATACCAGATGAAACTAGCTTGTCAGGACAAAAAATATACTTCCCAAAAATGAATAAATATCCAAATCATATATATCCATATCAAGTATTATTCTTTTTACCCGTTATCATGAATTTCTCTATGGCAAACATCTAATTCTGGAAGTCTTAAAGGGATTTCTAATTTGTTATTAAACATTTCAACCAACGCAAGGAAATAAAGCCTCTAAAACACAAGAGGTTGCTTAATGTTAGAGAATATAGAAAGAAAAAAAAACAGTGTTAAGGAGAGAGAGCGGACAAAAAGAAAAGGAATTAAGAAAAGAGAAGATAACGATTGACAATGCCTATGAATCTGTTGTAGAGTAGTTCTCACAGTGTAGGCTTGTATTTCAATAAGTCGTCCTAAATTAGGTTCCACGTACAAAACGTTAGGAACTTGAAATAAGAGTTAATGACACATCAATCTAGTTGTGATGGTTGATACTTCAATGTCCGACAGACTCACTCAACACCACTGAGTATTTATCGTTCCACCCACGAGGACCGAATATGGGACTAGGCCGGTTGTAATGTGGGTATCCCCGAGCCCGTAGGCTCGGCCAAAAAAATAATCTTTGAAGCCGATTAGACGGGTTCAGGCCCTGTATACCTCCCCGGACGAAACCTTGCCCTTCGGCAAAGACTCGTCCGGGTTCCTCTGCTAACGCAGAGAGTTCGACAGTAGGCGTGTGCAGTCAAAGACCGCGAGACGCCACTGAGTATTTATCATTTCACCCACGGGAAACGAATATGGCAAAAGGCCGGTTTTATTGTGGGTTTCTCCGAGCCCGTAGGCTCGGCCAAAAAAATAGCCTTTGAAGCCGATTAGACGGGTTCAGACCCTGTCTACCTCCCCGGACGAAACCTTGCCCTTCGGCAAAGCCTCGCCCGGGTTCCTCTCTGCCAACGCAGAAAGTTCGACAGAAGGCGTGCGCAGTCAAAGACCGCGAGTCGCCACTTAGCATAACTGGCCACTGCTGCTACTACTTATTATCTGTTGGAGTGTCTATTACAAAAGAATAGGTATTATGGTATAACAAAATCAAAATGCAACACTGTAGCGTACGCTATATTAAATAGATCAACTCAAGTAGAAAAGTAAGAAGCCCGAAAAGTGTTCGGTAAGTAATAACTAATATAATTATAGTTATCTTATTAACGGAAGCATAGAGGCATAATACCTACTGTTACAATGACAGCATTGCATCTCAAATAAGAAAAATCAGGATACATGACCAATAAAAATCATTTTTGATTTCTATTACAGAAATATATCTTTAACATAAAGACTTATCACTGTTTCTTATAGTATTATTAATAATGTTATATAAAAATAAATATTATTGTTATTATAGAACATAGGTTACATCTATCAATTTCAAGTGTAGAATAATGAGACCTTGCCGCCAATTCAGTACTGCGCTTAAATTTATAAAGTCCAGGCACCATAGAGGAAAGTTAAAATGGGCAATTACGTTACGCCAGTGGGAATGTTATTCAAGCTGAGATGCCAAGTCACGATCAATATCATTACAGATTATGTCTGTATGAATATTCTGAAATCCAAGTCTTACCTTGTTTATTTAGGTTGATCTGTAACAACAAAAAATTACGAAAATGAGCCTGAAATATTCGTAGCAAAGCTAAAGTTATACCTGCCTACAAGTGTTACATATAAAACTTTTACGTTTATCTTTACTTTATCAAAGGCTTCTGATAGTGGTCACAAATATCAATATAGGTATTGATATTGATATTTATAAAACTTATTGTAAACTGTGACAAATTAAAATATTTGGGTCAAGTAGTGAAGATTTATCAATAAAAACACGTCCTCAAGTATGGCTTGTTATTTCATGCTCTACGGCGATAAGACTTAAATCTTTATATATACAATAATCTTACAGAAGGAAAGTCCTTTCCAGGACACCAGATTTTTCAAACATACCCAGTTACTATTTTCTTTTCTGAAATGAAGAGACTTGAAACCAACGTCCTAAAATTGGGGATTGGAGACTTAGCACTAATAGACCCGATAGACGCGATATCTATGATCTACGAGACAAAGATGTAAAGATCATATATATATATATATATATATATATATATATATATATATATATATATATATATATATATATATATATTATAAAATTTTAATATGAGCACAATTTCTTAATAAATATATGAAGTTCTACACAATATATGTATGTGTGAGTCTGTCTATATATATACGCAAACGTATATAAATCAAAAATTTAAAATTTTTCAGTTTGTCTGACGACCGCAAATAGCGTGAAAAACCAGGGTCACAAACTCACATTAATCGAACTAAATATATATATATATATATATATATATATATATATATATATATATATATATATATATATATCAGGTCATCCCATAAGTTCTGTCCACCTTCATTTGTACGAAAACGATAACATTACAATAACAATTTTGTTTTTTTAAATCACAAATATATATATATATATATATATATATATATATATATATATATATATATACTAATAAGAACAGTAAATTTGAAATTTACCTCAGATGTGAAATAAACTTATTCAACCGACGAGATTCGCCAGAATTACTAAATCCCTGTGTAGACAGATTTCGTGTCGGGTATGTATCGAAAAAAAAAATGCTTTGTTCTGATAAGCTACAAATGGGTGATAAGCGGTAGAAAAACAATATGTATATAGATGTGAAGGCACAAACTAACTATATATATATATATATATATATATATATATATATATATATATATATATATATATATATATATATATATGGATTGATTTCAATCCAAATGATTATGTTGCTCTATCAGTGAGATTTAGCGCTTTCCAATAAGTACCACGCATATATAATATATAAATAAATAATATATATATATATATATATATATATATATATATATATATATATATATATATATATATATATATATATATATATCGTAGGCAAACAAACTACATTGTCGATTGTAGATTAAGCGGTGAAGCGTTGTATCTTAGAAATGATTAAATACATTTTATTGAAATCCTCCAAGTTTTTTTTCAGACCTGGACACCATATATAAATGGAAAAATCTACTCCCGATCAAATTAATATATATATATATATATATATATATATATATATATATATATATATATATATATTATTGAGGGAGAGTGACAGAGAAAAAAAGAAGGAAAAAATTAAAATTTTAACACGTAATGGTGGTGAAGGCGTGG